AGATTATAACGGTATCCACTTCTATTTGTGTTTCTGGAGGTCTCGTGAGTCTCGGGGGCAGCACACAGACGCTCACGATATCCCGGTAGATTTCTGTTGGAGTGCCATGTCCGTCGTCACCGATTTGGCAAGCCCAGCTCTGGCCCTTAGCTGTGAACATCTCCCCGGTTCTTTGGAAGTCTGGGCCCTATTCTGTCCGTATGAACGTCAAACGTTCAACCAATTCCTATCCAACAGGTCATCTCTGGCCGGTGTGTCCCCTTTGAACCCCAAAATACCACAGTGAAGCGTTCTCTGTACACGTTATTATTTGCCAATGGTGCATATTAACTAATGTGTTTAATTATGTATTATTATTAGCAATGTTTCAAGCTGATTGAATCCCTTTAATGTGTCAGATGCAGTTTATGGCAGCAACTGTTTTCATCATGACTGTGATAACTTGACAACCACAAGAGAGGCCTTTAACGGTCATGTATATACAATAGTGGTTGATTAGGTGTTATTGGGCGGAGTCTAGTGTACATATGAAGGAATGATGTCCTGAGTTGGTCCTGGTCGTACGGAGAAGACAGGCAGGACATTTCTCCTTCACTGATTAATAACTGTCCTTGAATGTGTTACATGGTTATGACTGGTAATGACTGGTTATGACTGGTTATGACTGGTAATGGCTGGTTATGATTGGTAAGGTCTGGTAATGACAGGTTATGACTGGTAATTACTGGTTATGACTGGTAATGGCTGGTTATGACTGGTAATGGCTGGTAATGACTGGTAATGGCTGGTAATGACTGGTTATGACTGGTTTTGGCTGGTAATGACTGGTTATGACTGGTAATGACTGGTTATGACTGGTAATGACTGGTTATGACTGGTTTTGACTGGTTATGACTGGTTATGACTGGTAATGGCTGGTTATGACTGGTAATGGCTGGTTATGATTGGTAAGGTCTGGTAATGACAGGTTATGACTGGTAATTACTGGTTATGACTGGTAATGGCTGGTTATGACTGGTAATGGCTGGTAATGACTGGTAATGGCTGGTAATGACTGGTTATGACTGGTTTTGGCTGGTAATGACTGGTTATGACTGGTAATGACTGGTTATGACTGGTAATGACTGGTTATGACTGGTAATGACTGGTTATGACTGGTAATGACTGGTTATGACTGGTTTTGACTGGTAATAACTGGTTATGACTGGTTTTGACATCTGTTATGCGTCTAATGGTATGAACATTGATATCATCACAGGTGGTTAAACTCGTCACTGTGAAGAAAACCTCCATGTTAATATCTTTAATAATAACTGTTTAGAGATTTCAGATCCGAGTTTATTTGTCATTGATGCGGTTTATATTTCTTCTTGGCAAAAAAAAACTATGAAAAAAATCCAGTAGCACACGGTTTGAGCATGTGTCAGTTATGAGGGTTTAATTTTATTTAGGGGTCCCTTGAGAGAATGGCCGTGAGGCCCTTTGATGAAGCTGGGTCATTTACATGTTAAAGTCCTCAGAGCAAAGAAATAATGGCCGTGGAACAAAGTACTGGGACCAAAACACAGCTGTCCAGATTATATTAGAGACAAGCTGTATATACACACACAACACCCATTCATTCAGGTGCTTCACTTTTTCTCCCCAGAGAAAATCAGTCCTAGCTTAGCGTCAAACGAACTATAAATTCAGTGATTAATTTATAGTCGGGTGCCAGTCTTATCACACATAATAGTGTGAGATTACTCGGTTGATTCAATTGTAGTTGACAGGTGTAGTGTTTGTTCTGAATTAATGTCTAATAACAGAGGCACCTGTGCTCTAATGGGGGATGAATCGTGGCAACGGCACATGCTCACTGTGCCCCATAGGGGGCAGCAACACCCCACTAGAACAATTGGGGTCAAGGCTATTTCTGGAACATTAGGACTAAAATATGAATCAATGTCATGTTGCAGTTATTGGTTCCATAAGGTAATTGTGAACGAACATAACCTTTGATCTGTGAATATTGTTCGTCTTTCTAAACATTGTGAAGAGGAAAACTATAGAAACTCGCATCAAGGGAGACCGTAAACAGTTACTTATATACAAAAGGTTTATTTGAAAATGTAGTACGAAAAATACTTACACATTTCATAAATTTAATTCCAATTTCTCATCGGGGCTCCCCAAAAAAAATTTTCATCTGAAAGTTCAAATGTTCCACTTCACCAAGTTAAGAACATAGCATTCATTACCGAACGTAATAAACATGTACCACCTTTGTGTTAATGACGTTTCACTTCATGTAACATATTCAACAAGAACAGTTCTGCTTTTTCGTTTAAATTAGAAATTACAGGAACACAAAAAAAGGCCATGTATAATTTCAATTCCGGGTTTTCCTTGAATTTATATAAAATAAATAAATAAATAGCCACCAACTGTGGAATGTCTTGAACAAATAATTTACACGGGAGAATGTACATAAATATACAAATACTTGTCAGTACGGAGTAAAAAAAAAAAAACGAAAGATAAGTCCACGGATATTGCATTGATTGTGCATTTGACACACAGATCTTAGCTTAGCCAAGACTGGTGCTGTGCAGCCAGCTGAGATAGAGAAACAACAGGAGGTCTCCGTATAGAAAACCCTATATGACGCCAAGGACAGAGAGGTTTGGATTCATTCAGACACATTCAGAGAAACTGATGAACACATGTCTGCACAGCTGTGAGGCATTTATAGTGAGAGAGCAGCAGGCGGTTATATAATGTGTTTAAGTGTGCGTTTCAAGTATGCCACCGCGTCAGTGGCGGGATCCCGTATTACACGAGCCTGGCGTTGGCGTTTTTTGCGAGATCGCATTACGCGGGTTACCGTGTTTCTCGAGCGACAGAAAAACCGACGACAGGTTCACGTGACTGGGGCCTCCGCCGAAGCAGCTTAAAAACAAGGCACTCGAAATGAACAAAAATACCAGAACACCATTCCAGCTCTATAAGAGCTGCCGGGATATCTGGATATAAAGGGAACTACAAGAAACACAAAACCTGCAGAACACTTTCTTAAATAAAAACGAACTGGTCAATACACGTCACCCAAGTTCTCGCAGAAAGAAACATTCCTCTAGAAAACGTTGACGGAGTTGGAGGAAACCCATGAACTACAGTTGCTAACAAAACAAAAAATCCCGTCTCCTGGTTGGACAAGGTTTCCTCATCAGAGGCTCTCTTTGCTTGAGTTCGTGCTGGACGAGGAGTCCAGGTGGATTTTGTGAAGGGTGACGTCACACCCGTCAGTTTTAGAGTCATTGGTTGTGGCACGCATCCACGGGTGGTCGAGGATCTGCTCCAGCGTCGGCCTATCAGAAGGCCTGAGGCAGAGGCATAACTGGATCAGCTGCTGACACTCTGGAAAGAGAGAACGAGAGAGCGGTTTGACGTCATGAACACGCTTGAGAATACCTACACAGGCAGGCAGACAGGCAGGCAGGCAAACAGGCAGGCATACCGACAAGACTAAGAGATGGACACCAGAGTAGGGCGCATACCGGCGGATATTTTTTTCCTGAAGAACAAGCGTCCGCGCAGAATCTCCTCGTCCTGTTCAAACGGGATGTCGCCACACACCATGTCGTAGAGCAGCACACCAAGCGACCACACAGTCGCCGAGCGCCCGTGGTACCGGTGAAAGCGGATCCACTCCGGCGGACTGTACACCCGTGTGCCTGAATGGCGTGCGGGGAAAAAAAACACAAGTCAGACTCTGACACGGATCGTTCAATCTGAAGCAGAAAGATACACGCCTACAGATACACTTGGGCGCAGCGAAATTCTGCTTGGATGTGAACCAGACTGGGACATTAAAAGGTCATAGATTAAACCCGGCCAGACAGACGGTACCCTGGACCTCCACTACAGATGCGGTGTCTACAATGTGCCTGAACCTGACTGGGAAGGAATAATACTCTGCATACCATAGTCAAGCACACATAATAAACACCTGAGAGAGAGTAAGAACATCACCACAGCTACTAACTTAAGGCGACGTGATTGGCTGTCTCCCGAATTAACCCAGAGTGTCCCTGACAGCGCACACACACACGCCCATCTACTACGAGAGTCACCTCCCACTATCAGGTCCCAAGGGACACGAGTAACTTGGATACCAAACACAAACAGGAACGTGTGATGTGTGGAGGACCACCATGTGTGCGGGGAAGACTCGGGTTTCACAACAAACCAACGTTACGTGGCAGACGATCGTTTTTAAAGCTGCGCTCAATAATTTTTCTGTTCTCGTTGTACGAATCGACAAGCGGTCATTTGACAACAGCTGTATGCATTTGCAGTTAGCATTTTGGTATTACAGTGTCACATTGAGTCATCTACGTTTTCACAACTAAGGACAGACAAATTTAAATCTTTGCAGTGATCTCACCTCAATAAATATACATAAAGATAAATAATCAAGCAAGCAGTGTCATCTACATGACCTACATTCCTCTACTGGTTAGTATATTTTGTATATATATATATATAAGAAATAAACTGCAGAAAGTTAAAAAATAAAAGCCAAATACATACCGTCAAAGTCTGTATAAACTGTGTCCTTGAGAATCGCCCCGGAACCAAAGTCAATGAGCTTCACGTCTCCGTTTTGCAGATCCACCAGCAGGTTCTCGTCTTTAATGTCCCGGTGTATAACTCCGCAGCTGTAGCAGTGTCGCACCGCCTCCGATACCTGACGGAAGAACCCCCGAGCGGTGTCTTCGTCCAGGGGACCCTTCTCCGTGATATAGTCGAACAAGTCCTTGACCGTCTCGGGTCGCTCCATGATAATTAACCATCCGTCTGGTCGCTCGTACCAGTCGATCAGCTTAATGACACCCCGGGAGGTAGTGCCCACCTTCTTCAAGAGCACAATCTCCAAGGGCACTAGGGAACCGTTCTGGGAATCGATAGCACATAGTTAGTTTCTTTTTCATTTAACCGTTATTCAACCATTTCTGGGGCGCAGCTGGGATTCGAACCCAGGACGTCATGCACACGAGGCATGCAACTGCTCCAATGTAGGCTACAATGTATTTCCATGCAACAACCGTGGGAATTATCTAAATATAGAGTTTATTATATGAAACTTACCAGGGTTCCCCATTCTGTAACTCGCTCTTTGGCGACATGTTTCACAGCAACCTGGGATGGAATAAAGGTGGCGCTCAGAACTAGCAGGGCACCAGTGTGTGTGTGTGTGTGTGTGTGTGTGTGTGTGTGTGGATGCCCACCATGTGGTACCATAAAGGGGGAAAAAAACAAAGCACCCTGGTGTTTCACTCACTCACCGGCAAACCGTCTGAGATCCGACTGCCCGAGTAGACGGTACCGAACCCACCGGTTCCCAGGACCGGTCCGACCCGGTACAGTTTCTCAAATGACTCCTTCTCCAGTTTCACTGTTAATGCACAAATGCATGTTTAGTTACGGACCCCGAATGCGCAACCTTGAGATACAAAATGCTCTCCCGCACCCGGGGTTTTCAAAATGGCACCAGATTTTTTTTTCGAGGTCACATTTTTGCCACTAATGCAGTTAGATAACAGGCTGATTCCCTGAATATTATGAAATACTATTTATTTGGTATGCAATCATGCACACATTGTGCCATTATAACATGCGCCTATTAATGACTGGCTGACACCCACATGTCTCGTATCCCTCTAGTTAAATAGCCATAATTAAATAATAAAAGCCCATACCTTGCTGAAGCTGTATTTTCACCGTTAAATCCATGCTGGACGTGCTGCAAATGTGGGAAAATGATCCAAACTTGGAGAGCAACATTATTCCCCCTTTATAGAAATAAAATTAGGAAAAAATAAAAATAATTCGGAAAGGCGTCTCAAAAATAGGTCCAAATGCGCACTAGGAAATAAGCTCAATATATCTATGATGAAATGCAGATCCATCAATGATGTTAAAGCAATAATAGGGAGAAATATTATTCCACAGATGTACGTTGTGTTCCGACCCGAGTACCGACAGAGAGTCCTGGTGCGCACATGTGTGGTATCAGCTGGGTATAACACCCAGTGTTCCCAACTCCTCAGTAAGAAAAGGAGCTATTGGCTGTCCTAGAAGTCGCTGCATGGCGTCATCGTCTAATTTGCATACGCCCGCCCCTTCAGGTTCAAAAAGTGAGCAAAAAACACAAACTCGATACAAAGTCGCTAAGTTGGCAACACTGATAATATGATAATACATAGATGAGTGCATACCTCCCCTCTAGTCCGGGCATTATAGATGAGTGCATACCTCCCCCCTAGTCCGGGCATTATAGATGAGTGCATACCTCCCCCCTAGTCCGGGCATTAGAGATGAGTGCATACCTCCCCCCTAGTCCGGGCATTATAGATGAGTGCATACCTCCCCCCTAGTCCGGGCATTAGAGATGAGTGCATACCTCCCCCCTAGTCCGGGCATTAGAGATGAGTGCATACCTACCCCCTAGTCCGGGCATTATAGATGAGTGCATACCTCCCCCCTAGTCCGAGCATTAGAGATGAGTGCATACCTACCCCCTAGTCCGGGCATTATAGATGAGTGCATACCTCCCCCCTAGTCCGAGCATTAGAGATGAGTGCATACCTCCCCCCTAGTCCGGGCATTAGAGATGAGTGCATACCTCCCCCTTAGTCCGGGCATTATAGATGAGTGCATACCTCCCCCCTAGTCCGAGCATTAGAGATGAGTGCATACCTCCCCCCTAGTCCGGGCATTAGAGATGAGTGCATACCTCCCCCCTAGTCCGGGCATTATAGATGAGTGCATACCTCCCCCCTAGTCCGGGCATTAGAGATGAGTGCATACCTACCCCTAGTCCGAGCATTAGAGATGAGTGCATACCTCCCCCCTAGTCCGGGCATTAGAGATGAGTGCATACCTCCCCCCTAGTCCGGGCATTATAGATGAGTGCATACCTCCCCCCTAGTCCGAGCATTAGAGATGAGTGCATACCTACCCCCTAGTCCGGGCATTATAGATGAGTGCATCCCTCCCCCCTAGTCCGAGCATTAGAGATGAGTATGTTTTTTAAATTCACACTTGAACTTTGAAAACTCATTACAATCAACTATAGCTGTACTTAATTGCATGTGCCTTTCCATTATAGATAGGCTATATGCATCGCTTGCATGTTGTTAGTAAATGGTCCTCAATTTTGTCTAATAGGAAATTGGATAACTCCTTTACAGGGTTGTATTGGATATCAGTGCAAATAACTGTCTATAGAGGGAGCTAAAAGTGTCCTACTGCTGAAATATACAGAAATCCAAATGATTACAGGTAAATCTATAAAACGTGTTCATGTTTACTTACATTAGAAAATACTGAACGTTTGAACATGTTTTAGCTTCTTTCTCAATATAAAAACATACGTTTATGTGATACGACAGAGCACACATCCACAAGTTTATACCAGTGGCTAGGAAAAACTCCCTAATGGGTCGAAGTTAGGAAGATACCTAAAGAGGAACCAGGCTCTGAGGGGTGGCCAGTTCTCTTCTGGGTGTGCTGGGTGAACCTATACTTGTCATATAACTATTAAATGCATTTTTTTAAATGCAGGGATTCATATAAAGTAGTCCAGGTCAAATATATGACCAGTCTGAAAGGGCCAACTGGGAGGGTTGAGGGTTTGGCAGATTGGAAACAGAAACTGTCAGGAAGCAACACAACCAGGTGGGGCCTCAGAAGGGTTCTGCTACATGTCCTTAGGGCCGAACGGTCCCACAGTGTGGTCAGTAGGCACGGGTCCTCCTTAGTAGAAACGGAAACAAGACACAGGGACAGGTTAGGCACTCTAGTTCCCCATGTCCCCTGCACAATAGTATAGCAGCATAAATCCTAAAAAAGAGAGACAGGGGGTCCAGTGAAAATGTTCTACTGTGTTCCAAAAAAATCTAAACAAAAAAACATAACATTTTAGGTCTTCGCACCAGCGCCTTTGGCAGCAATCCTAACTCTTTTGTAGCAGTTTCTTCCAATCTTTCTTCCAGATCCTCTTACAGTAAACTCGGCCAGATTGGATGGGGAACGTCAGACAGCAATGATTTTCTGGTCTCACCATCGATGTAAATTTGGGTCAAATTCAGGCTTTTGCCGGTCGACTCGAGTACATTTGTCCTGAAGCCACTCTAGCATTGTCTTGGTTGTGTGCCTTGAGCCGTTTGCGTGCTAAAAATATGATGCTTCAACTCTGTGGTGATTCGGTTTTCTTCAAAGAACTTTCAGCATATTGCCCTGTTCATCCCTCCATTTGTAAAAACCCCCATAGCATGATGCTCCTGCCACCCCGCTTCCTCGTAGGGATGGTATTAGCCCGGTGATAAGCAGGACCTTGCTTCTTCTGGGTTTAGGATAGTCCCTTAGTTCCAGTGAAGTGTCATCTTAATGCTACTGGATATAAAGACATTTTTGACTTGATTTTTGATTTGATTTGGACGCTTCCAACTTTGTGACAACAGTTTGGAACTGACCCTTTGACTGTGCTTCTGTGCACAACATGTGGTCCATAAAGACATGGTTCATTGAGGTGTGTGTGGAGAACCTGCACAGAGCTCTGTCCTCAACCCCACTGAACACCTTAGGGATGAAACGTACGTCACCTGAATACAGGCAAACTCTCCAGGCTGTGCCCTGATCACTTGCGGTAGAACAAGAGGCAGTTGGTAAACTGATAGACTTCTGTCCTGACAACAGAACAGGGAGTTCATCGTGGTACGACAGCTAGGGCACGAGGATGGCATACTTAGAAAAAATGTTAGGGATCTTTTAAAAACATTTGATAGCTGCTTGAGAGACCAAATGTTTTTCCTACACTACTGAGCAAAATGTTAGCGAGCAGCAAATGACAGAAATATTTTGCTTTTCTTATGTTTACTCTTGTTTGAGGTGAGATTTGAACTGATGATCCATTAAAGCAATGAAACGTATACATTTTACGATACACTTTGGTATGCACGCAAATGTATAGGCATGTTGCTAGCCAGGTTTCTGTACAGAGAGGACGTATATGGGCACGTTAAATATGAATGTTTCATGGGCAGGTTTAAATCTGTGTAGACGTTTTCTTCCAGTTTTCTTAAGGTCAAGAGTACATCCCATGAACATCCTCAACAGCTTCTATGGATGTCCTGTAGATAATATTTAATATGCTAATATGCTAGGCACATTTATGGTTAAGAACATTTCTTTTTATTATTTGTCAGGATATCGTCAAACGTTTTCTCTGATGCAAATGCTTTAAAAGAGCCATTTGAAGGCATGTCTCGTTGTTTATCCATTTCAGGGGTTACATATACTGATACAAATATGGGATAACAGCAAATATGATTATTATTTTAAATAATTATTTTCTATTTTATATTATATTATTTTTTTGTTATACTGTCATATATAAGAATGAAACTTCATCCTATTCAATTGGCCAGTTGATCAGTTAGGATATTAAATTGTTTCATAATTTTTGTAAATAATGTTGTTAACTATATGTTGCTATATATATATATATATATTAGCTTAGTACAGATAATGGACATAGCCAGCTTGTATTTCGTGCACATTGTCAAGCTTTGGATACATTGTTCATAGGCGCCAAAAACACATTAACAAGATATAAATTGGTGCAAGTAAAAAATAATAATTATTTACTGTGCTAGTATTTTAGCTTAGCTTTTATTCATTAACTATTTTCTTATTTCTTTTATTCTTTTAGTTTTACACAATGGAAATGCTCAAAATAGTCCCAGTGGGATTTGCAAGCAAACCGGTAGCAGGTATTTTAAGGTAGCAGAGAGATATTCTTACAGCTGGCATTTACCAAACCTGAAACACACCCAATGTTTAAGAAAACAAATGGCCACGCCCTGCTTTCGGACACTACCGTTTTATATAAATGTATGTTGAGCGTGACCTGCATTTGGAAACATGATAGAGGCTACTACATTAGGGTTGGGTCAGGAAAAGGGAAATAAACTCTCAGGGAAATATTTCCTAACAATCACTTTCTGCCATTATTTCAACCTTACCT